TTCAAGAACAGATTTGTTTTCTTCACTGTGCTATTGGACCGACATGATTACATTTTCTATTCTCTTTACAGTGTTCGAAAGGAGGACTGTCGTCTGCACAGCGAAGTTCCGGAATATTGTTGCCACCAATTATGAGCGTTTCGTAACTGTCACATGCCTGGTCATTTTTTGACATTTCTCATTATGTTTTCTGCATGTATATTCAATAGGTATGGTGAGAGAAAGCACTCCTGCCTCACTCCCTTTTGCACCTCGAATCAGTCCGATGTTTCACCAGCTGTTCTAATGGCTGCTTGTTGTTCATGACATTACTTTTCAATTAAATGCACCAAATGCGCATGAAACCCCATACTTCTCCTAATATTTCACAATTTCAGATTTTGGACACATTAAAATACCTTGCTTAAATAAATAAAACAAGTATGAAGATCTATGATGTATTCTCTACACTTTCCACAAATTATTCCTATATTAGAGATGTGATCCCTAGTTCATCTATCTATAAACAAAGATCATCATAATAATTGCGACCATATTCCTCGGGCCACTTGATGGGATTCCGCGGGCCAGATTTAGTACGCGTGTTGCCAGTTAGATAGCTCTGCCCTACGAAAGCCACCCACTGGATGACATTTTTTATTTATTGCAATTCACTTAACATACATAGATTAGGATGCGAGCCCTACATTCGTGAGGGCATGCGACCCCTACATTCGTGAGGGGATGCGACCCCTATATTCGTGAGGGGATGCGACCCCTACATTCGTGAGGGGATGCGACCCCTGCATTCGTGAGGGGATTACAATGCTCACCCCTACATTCGTGAGGGGATGCGATTACAACCCTACAAATTCAGAAAGAGGGGATGCGATTACCCTACACCGGAAAGTGCAAGGGATGCGACCCCAAACATCAGAAAGAAGAGGGGCTCGGCTTCCCCTACATTCGTGAGGGGATGCGACCCCTACATTCGTGAGGTCCATTTGCACTAGGACGGCACTGGTCAGGTTTTCTTTTTTTTTTAAGAAGCAAGGTTTCGATTACAACTTCTCACAAACATCAGTAAGAATTAGGAACTTGATTACAACTTCTCACAAACATCAGAAAGAAGCAATGGTTCGATTACAACTTCTCACAAACATCAGAAAGAAGCAAAGGCTCGATTACAACTTCTCACAAACATCATAAAGAAGCGAGGGCTCGGTTACAACTTCTCACAAACATCAGTAAGAAGCAAGAACTTGATTACAACTTCTCACAAACATCAGAAAGAAGCGAGGGCTCGGTTACAACCTCAGAAACATCAGAAAGAAAGCAAGGGTTCGAATACAACTTCTCACAAACATCAGAAAGAAGCGAGGGCTCGGTTACAACTTCTCAGAAACATCAGAAAGAAAGCAAAGATTCGAATACAACTTCTCACAAACATCAGAAAGAGGCAATTAAACAAAGTAAGGGGAAATTGTTCAAAAATAAATAAAGTGGACGTTTACCAAAAAAAAAAAAAAATTATTTTTCGATATAATTTCGATAAATAAGATCTAATGGTTTATTTTTGCTTTCATTGTAAATCACACACACACACACACACACACACACACACACACACACACACACACACACACACACACATATATATATATATATATATATATATATATATATATATATATATATATATATATATAAGGGTAAGTAGGTAGGTACTTTGCTGGGGGAAAAAATCGTCAATAAGAAGAAACTCCACAGGGGAGCATTCAACCAGCATTCCCGAAGGGGGAGCATAAGGTTATAATTAAGACTCGGTTATGTGTGCCATGTAAATTGGCTTAGCATTTCACGCCACCAAAACCCATAAAAAGGACTTCTGCAGTATTGATACGATCAAAGGAGACATACACCCAAATACTGTGCCGACCGGGAAAATCCTGTAAGTGCTCTTTGCCTCCGCGAGTCTTAACCAAGCACTGACCGCACTACTCAAAGATTACCTATCTCTGATCCACATTCAATTTTTCGAATGGGTTTTCGGCTTTAAACCGCTTATCCCAGGACTGGCCTTATTTGTCCACTGTCTACCAGTAACATTGCTTGTATTTTCCCCAGAAACCAGACCTCTGATGTTACTGAGTATTTCTCTGCCTACTTGCTCGTTATCTAGGCAGCCATGTTTAACTCGGAGACAGAAAAACTCTGTGATAGTATGAATCTTTCCCGATTATAGTCAGAAATAAAGGAATGTGTTGTTGTAGAATCACCTCTTCATTATTCTGAAACGTCTTGCAAAGGATGCTCAACAAACTGAACTAGTTGTTGAAGTTGAATTATGAATCTTCTTCTTCTTCTTCGCGTTCACCAGCTGTAAACCCTGGCGGAAGGTTCTGGTTGCTCGTCCACTACTGAACTGCAGTCCTGCTAGAGAACCTGAGTGTTGCGTGTGCATCAGTTTTACAGATCTCATTCTCTTGAATACAGACTGTTGGTTCCTTGCCTCTCCGGC